GCGGTGAATCATCTTAGAAACAGGAAGCGCTCAAACGTTTGTGTGAGTTTATCTAATTTAGCAGTGATTCCATGTCAGCCACAGCTTGTTACAAAAAACATGACTGATAGTGTGTTTAACAAACTTAAACTAGCTTTATTAAATGTCAGGTCTTTGGCAGGAAAAACATTTTTAATCAATGATTGTATCACTGAGCACAATCTCGATTTTATGTTTTTAACAGAAACTTGGATTGAACAGAATAACAGTGCAGCTGTTCTTATCGAATCAACCGCTCCCAACTTTAGTTTTATGAGTCAGGAAAGAATGCATAAGAAAGGAGGTGGAGTTGCTATTCTGTTAAATGATTCCCTTCAATGCAGGAAGACATCTTATGGAATCTTTGATTCTTTTGAATATGTGGCCCTTCAGCTGAAATGCTCCTCTCGAGCTCTGTTCCTAAATATCTATAGACCACCCAAATACTGTGCAAGCTTTTTTGATGACTTTACTGAACTGCTGTCTATAGTGTGTATTGACTTTGACCGTCTAGTCATTGTTGGTGATTTTAACATCCATGTTGACAACCCCCAGGACAGAGGGGCTAAAGAACTGTTTTGTGTTCTTGATAGTTATGGACTGACTCAGCATGTGACGGAGCCCACGCACAATAAGGGGCACACTCTGGACTTAATTATCTCAAAGGGTCTGAATATCTCTAAGGTTGTGGTGACTGATGTTGCACTGTCTGACCACTCCTGTGTTTTCTTTGAGAGCTCTATTTCTGTTCACAAAAATGTTCAAAAAGAGGTAACCACAAAGCGATATTTAACTGAAAATACTAGGTAAATGTTTACTCAGAATTTTTCTACCACACTTGCCCCTGCTAACATCTCAGTAAATAAGCTAGTAGATCATTTTAATTCAAAAATTTAAAATTGTATAGATGCCATTGCTCCAACTAAGGTAAAGGAAGTGTCTGGCAAGAAAATATCTCCATGGAGAAAGGCCATGACCGTGAAAACAGAAAAAAGAGAATGTCGAAAAGCTGAACGCAGGTGGCGAAAAACAAATCTCCAGGTTCACTTTGACATTTATAAAGAGAGACTTGGCCTTTATAATTTGGAATTGAAAAACGCACGACAATCGTTCTTCTCTGACATCATTACCAAAAACAAAAACAACGCACGTGCCTTGTTTGCTACCGTCGACAGACTAACTAACCCCCCAGTGTCAGTAGCCTCTGAATTTCTATCCACCAGGGCGTGCAATGATTTTGCCTCCTTTTTTACTTACAAAATTCAGAAAATCAGACAAGCAGTCAGTGCCTCTGCATCAGGAACAGCAAATGTGTTGTCCCTATGTCCACCTAACATCAATTCAAACACCATGACACAATTCCATCAGATTAATGATAAAAACCTAGAGGACATTATTCAACTTCTGAAATCCTCCTCCTGCTGCCTTGATATTATTCCAACAGGATTTTTCAAAGATGTTTTGCCTTGCATGGCCTCAGATCTACTTCATATAGTAAACAAATCTCTTCACTCAGGTATTTTTCCACAGGCCCTGAAAACTGCAGTCATTAAACCGCTCTTAAAAAAGAATAATCTAGATGCTTCAGTAATGAACAATTACAGGCCCATATCAAACCTCCCATTTCTAGGTAAAATCATTGAAAAGGTTGTTTTTCAACAGTTGAGTAATTTCTTGCATTTAAATAACTGTTTCGATGTGTTCCAGTCAGGCTTTCGTCCAAACCACAGCACTGAGACTGCTCTTGTAAAGGTCTTTAATGACATCCACTTAAACACAGACAGTGGCAGAACTTCAGTGTTAGTATTATTAGATCTCAGTGCTGCGTTTGACACTGTTGACCACAGCATATTACTAGACCGACTGGAAAACTGGGTGGGACTTTCGGAAACAGTTCTAAATTGGTTTGAATCCTACTTAAAGGATAGAAACAACTTTGTTTCTATAGGTAAATACACATCTGAGTTGACAAATATGACATGTGGGGTTCCTCAAGGCTCCATCTTGGGGCCTCTTCTCTTTAACATCTACATGCTACCACTGGCTCAGATAATGAAGAACAACAAAATAAGTTACCATAGCTATGCAGATGACACACAAATTTACGTAACAATTTCACCAGGAGACTATGCTCCAATTCAAATACTGAGTAAGTGCATTGAACAAATCAATGACTGGATGTGTCAGAACTTTCTCCAATTAAACAAAGATAAGATAAAACTGAGGTAATGGTTTTTGGAGCCAAGTCAGAATGTATAAAAGTTAGCGCTGAGCTTCAGTGTGCAATGTTCAAAACAACAGATAAAGCCAGAAATCTAGGTGTAGTCATGGACTCTGACCTGAGTTTCAACAGTCACATTAAAACAGTTACTAAATCAGCCTACTATCACCTAAAGAATATATCTAGGATTAAAAGACTAATGTCACAGCAGGATTTGGAAAAACTTGTCCATGCCTTTATCTTCAGTAGACTCGACTACTGCAATGGTGTCTTCACAGGTCTCACTAAAAAATCTATTAGAAAGCTGCAGCTGATTCAGAACGCCGCTGCTCGAGTCCTCACTAACACTAAGAAAGTGGATCACATCACTCCTGTTCTGAAGTCTTTACACTGGCTTCCTGTGTGTCAAAGAACAGATTTCAAAATATTGCTACTGGTTTATAAAGCACTGAATGGTTTAGGCCCAAAATACATTACTGACCTCCTGCTAAATTATGAACCATCCAGATCTCTCAGGTCTTCAGGGACTGGTCAGCTTTCTGTCCCCAGAGTCAGAACTAAACATGGTAAAGCAGCGTTCAGTTATTATGCTCCAAATATCTGGAACAAACTCCCAGAAACCTGCAGGTCCGCTGCAACTCTGACTACTTTTAAATCCAGGTTGAAGACTTTTCTTTTTGTCGCTGCTTTTAATTGAACTATTCATATCTTAGACTGCACTGTAACTTTTATCCATGTATTTTTTCTTTTAATGTTTATTTTATTAGCTTTTCTTTTTAATGACTGATTTTAAATGCCCTTTTCTTAATGTCTTTCATTTTTTGTAAAGCACTTTGAATTGCCTTGTGTTGAAAAGTGCTATATAAATAAACTTGCCTTGCCTTAATGAGCATCAGAAACACACATGTTGTCGGGTTGAAGCCTGGGAAGAGAAGGGAAGAAGAAAGGAGGGCACACAGTAGGTACAGTGCGGAACAATACTCCCAACCCGTAGTTCCATGAGTGAATTATGTCAATCAGTGATCACTACACAAGCCCCCCCAGAATTCAACCATGGACACAATCCTCGCGTCCGGGAGGAAGCACCACAGGGGCCGAGGAGGGTGGGGCCGCAAGCGAGGGCCGGGCCATGGAACGGGCCGTCGGAAGGGGGCCGCAGGAGCGGGCAGGGCCTCCAACGAGGGCGAGGGCATCCCCACCGGGGGTGGGGGGCGGGCCATGGAACGGGCCATCGTAAGGGGGCCGCAGGGGGCCGCGGTAGGCGTTGAGGCTAATGAAAACAACATCCACCAACCGTAGAAAGCTGGGTCGCTGTGCTGCGACGTGGGGACGGGCGTAAATATTCCGGTGGTCCCCAGCCGGAAGGAGCGCTGCCCGGCCGCAGGCGAGGGCACAGCGCCGGCGGGCACGAAGTCCTCGGGAGGAAGGAGCGGTATCCCCGGGAAGCAGGAGCAGGATCCCCGGGAGGAAGGAGCCGTGGACAGGGGAGAGGCCAGACGGGGTCAGACGGGGTGACGTCCGAAGCCGCCGTCGAGGCAAACCGTGAGCCGCGGTTAGAGGAGAGGCCCGGTAGGGTCCAGAAGTGCGCCACCCGGGCGGCGATGAAAGCGTGGGTGATGTCCGCTAGTCGTTGTCGACAGCCGTTAGCTGTAAGCAGTTAGACGTTGTCGTCGGCCCCGGAGACTCTGCTAGGTGGCGTGACTCTACAAGGGAAGGTGCCGCTGCGTGTCGGAGCCAGCACCTCAGGGGTAAAACGCCGGGCGGCCAGGAAGAACCGGTCAGCTTCTTCGGCTAAAGCGCGGAGCTCAACACAAGCTGTGTTAGCGAGCGCATGTCCCGAAGAAACAGTTCCATTAAAAAAAGCTTTAATGAGCATCAGAAACACACATGTTGTCGGGTTGAAGCCCGGGAAGAAAAGGGAAGAAGAAAGGAGGGCACACAGTAGGTACAGTCAACATATGTGTCCGTGCAGAACAATACCCCCAACCCGTAGTTCCATGAGTGAATTATGTCAATCAGTGATCACTACACCTGGAAGTTATTGAAGAAATAAGCACATTTTTCCATCAAAAATATTAATATAAAATATTTAGAATATTACAATGAAATACAAAGAGGTGTGTCCTATGCAGCAAGTGTAGTTATTTGATCCAGCACTGATTTTGAGTCATTAGGTCACATTACCTGGAACTTATCGAATAAATGTGCTAATTTTCCCATCAACATATTAATAAAAATGCATTTAAAGTATTACAATGCAATAAAAAGAGGTGTGTTCAACAAATGTATGCTCAAGAGTGGATTTGCTTCACATTCGCTCGATCGGGAAGCTGTCAATTTATTAAAAAGAACATTGTTCTTGTGTAATTGAAAAATCATTTGTTGATGGTCCCTAAGTGAAAGCCTCGTTTCGCGGAGAAGATCTCGCCGTCGTAATACAGCCAGCAGCAGGGTAAACTGACGCTGCTGGCTGGTCCGCGAATGTCTGTCGAATATCCAACCAAAAATTCACTTCACCGCGGTAGTTTAAATTACCATCCTCACAGTCTCACATTTAGCAAATTATTCCCTGAATGTGCTTACAGTGGCAAAACAGCGAGCAGGGTGTCAGTTCAGGTGACATATAACATGTTTTTGAGAAGAAGAAACTGCTCCAAACAACACTCACCGACCGGAAAACAATCCCAAATGATTCATGGTAAATGAAGGCGTCAGAGCCGCTGAATGTGAGCTAATAATGTCAGGATGATGATTGACTTACCGGCTGCTGGACGGGATCATTTCAGGAAACGAAGAGAGAGTTAAACCGTTTCAGTGAGGAATAAAATACACAAAAACTAAAAAAACACTTCCGGTGATCCAGGTGAGGTTTATGCTTGTAATTAGGTGATAAAAGCCCAATGCAGACCTGAATCACGATCAGGCTGCTGCAGAAACTCTGAAGAGCGCCAGGTAACACGAGCCTACCTGCTGCACGTAGTTCACAGGCCACGCCCCCTCTGAACCTGTACACACGCACGCACACACACACCTGCAGCTGCTCACCTGCAGCACTTGGCAACCTGTAAAACACTCCCATTTCCACGGTGGCTGAGGAGGACAAGAAGACCAAAGCGGGTCAAAAATATAAATTGTACAACTATTCAGAAGTAACTAGGCCTAGGGTAAAATAAAAATAAAAACCCTCCTGGTTCCCCCCTGAAATAAAAACGGTCAAAATCATCCCCCTTCTAAAACTGCCATTCCCCCTTTCCATCCCTTATGTCATTTTATCAATGAACGAGGCACTGGTATTACTGCTATTTCAACATTAATTTTGCGCATATTGAGTAAAATACTGTGGGCGAGGGAGCACGCACACACGCAATGACATTTTTACCAAGTCACTGACGCTATACTATGCGAGTGCCCTAGAGGGCGCCAGAGCGCCGTGATGCGCCTGTTTGATCGATGCCAGAAGCGCAGGTAACGGTCATCACAATGGCCAAGCGACCAGGAGGACAACGCGATCTGAGGGACTTCATATTTAAAAATACTAAAAATAACATTTCAGGTAAGTCAAGAGTCAGTAATCTTAGTCATTACTCATTACTTTAGTCACCAAAGGTGGAATATATGGACATAAGCAGCAATAACAACTTAGTTTGGAGTTTATCTACGTTTTTCTCTCGTGTTAGCTAGCTGATAAGACTCACAACCAGGGCCGCCCCTGGCCAACTTGGGGCCCCAAGCGACATTGTGAGATGAGGCCCCCCCCCCCCCAACCGACAGTTGTTTTTGGAAACAAAGTAGGCTACTTTGCAAATATAATTCCTGTTTATTATTATTATTATTATTATCAACACAGTTACTTTTGTATACAGTGAGGTAAATGGTAAATGTGCATGTATGTCGTTCAGTATGCGTTTACAGGTGAATACTTCTACTAATAATAATAATCATAATCAATTCAATAATATATATATATTATTTTATTATAATATAGTTGTAATATAGTCAAGACAAAACATGCTTATGACATGCTCAAAAACTGATATTTCTTAAATCTGTATTCTAGTTCCCTCTGTCAGCAATGTATCAACAACTACACACACATTGCTATCAGTATTTCTCTGTGTTGTGGTTGACATGATGATGACTGTTAGGAGTAAAAGTTTACTTTTTATTCATGTCTTTTTTCTTTTAATGTTTCTTGTATTATATTTTACTGTTTTGAAATGCCTTTGTCTGAATGTCTTTCATTTTTGTAAAGCACCTTGAATTGCCTTGTGTTGAAAGGTGCTATATAAATAAACTTGCCTTGCCTTGCCTTAAGGGGAGAGGCTGAGCATCACCACGAAATGTGCAAATTGACATAAAAATTAATAAAAGGGGAAAAAATGCTCCATGTTTTTTAGGCTGCAAACTTGAACTGTTATGTAAGCCAACTAGACAGACAGTGTATCACTCTTCCTCCTGTACATCAGCAGATAAAAGGCATCACATACTTGAATGAATGTTAAATAAAGAATGCTGGAAATAACTGCATCTCCATTAGCCTATATGCTCTGCAGAGACTGCCTTCTTCATGTTGTGAATTGCAGCTGATGTTATAATATGGCAATTGGCAATTTGACTTATACAACATTCGCAAGTTGTACATTTGACAATAACCCACCTTCGAGTGATGCTCTAGTTTCTTCAAGTTTTGTTTTTTTCCCCCTCTTGCTTGCCCCCGGACTGAAACTGTCTTTTCACCGACATCTCTTCACCTGCACTAGTGGCCGTATCAAAGCCGTGATTGGTCAGATGTCGATTCATTGCAACGGTGTCGGATTACAGACGTGCTCCCCTTGTCACCTCTCACTCTCGCGGGGGGTGCGCACAGCAGCTGAGGCCCTCTGGGCGGGGCCCCCTGTGCAAGGCGGGGCCCCATGCAGCCTGCGTGATTGGCCTGTAGGGAGGGGCGGCCCTGCTCACAACTGTTGATGAAATGATACCACCAGCACCAGAAGAGCTGAAACCCCTCCTTCAAGCAGTGAACACTCTGGTCATCTCCATAGCTGAGTGTGAACGTGGGTTTAGTCAGATGAACATTTTAACCACAACTAGAAGCTCCCTAGAGGTAAAAAGTATGTCAGGTTGCTTTTCATCAAGTGTGTTGGCCCTCCACTGAACAAGTTCAGACCAGAGGTATGTCAAGAATTGGCTTCAAAGCCATTGCTTAGCTAACAATCTGAAAGCAAGAGCCAGAAAAATTGAGACCAAAAAGCATGATTATGAAAATCTTTGGAAACTTCTATCAGATGGGGGAGAGTGGAGTAGGCAGCCATTGACAACATTGGTCCTATTTTGTATTATCTGTATAATCTTTTAATATATTTTCATATTTTGTAAACAATTTCAATTTGCACTTAATGCCCTGTTAAAAAAAGTAACATTGGGAATGTTAACATAACATATTTGTATTTGAACTGCAATAAAATGATGACGGATCAATATTTTTCAAATTATTTTTCCTCAAATTTTTCATGAAGTGTTTAATTTACATAATGATTTAATTAATTACGATAAAAATGTAACCCTTTAGATACCAGTTTTGATCGTATACCAGTAACTGCTTTTTTGATACACTATAATTCAATATTCTAAAAACAAATTTGACTTTATTATTAGTATAATCAGTTGATCCATCTGAATAATAAATGAGGGACTGTTAACCTACAAGATATGTACCATAGACTTCCATTATAACCACATTTTTGTATTCCCTCCCCCCCTTTAAATTAAAGTGAAAAAAAGATTTTGCACTAATTGTCCTCTGCATTTGACCCTAAATGTTAGTGGTGCCATGGCAGCCCGGGGACCGACTCTAATTCTGAGGTGCCTTGGTCAAGAGCAATGAAAGGAGTATCTGAACATCCATAACATGCATGTTGTTTTAGGAGTATAATAATTATCTTTATGCTGGTTGGTCTCCCACCCTCTGCGGGTTATCAGCACAAATTATGTCCCCATATGATAAAATCCACCATCCCCCCTGATTTTTTTTTACAACTTGAGTACTGAATATATATATATATATATATATATATATATATATATACATATATATTAATAGCATATATATATGTTGACATACATCAAAATATATGTTTTATATTTCAGATTGTTTTAATGTAAGTTGAAGAGTATGGAGGACAGAACATGACATAAGTATACAAAAATAAATGTGTAAATACATGTATGAATAAATACAGGAATACATAAATAAATACGGAAATAAATAAATACAGGAATAAATAAATGAGGAAATAAATACAGAAATAAATAAATGTGGAAATAAATACGCAAATAAATAAATAAATAAAATAATAAATTCATAAATAAATATGGAAATAAATACATGAATGTATAAATACATTCAGAACACACGTTATTATATATCTTTAGTATATTTCTACATTTACGGTCACTTACATTTATTTATGTGTTTCTGTGTCCATATGCTAATGAAGTGGGCTGTCCTAACCTCTGTCTGAAGCATGATTGGTTACAGGAGTGTGATCATTTCTGACAGATTGGGCTCTACTTCTAACGCCTGGCTGACAGCGCTGATTCGAATGCAGGAGGAGCATTACTGTTTAGCCCTTGTCTTTATACATCCATGGTTTATCCACAGTTGTAATTGTTGACAATTCAAATGTACTCAGGTTTATTTATGGTTATTGGTTTAAGAGCCATTGGAGATTATTAGCGGACCATTTAGAGAATGGAGAACCAAAAGACTATATCCAGTTTTGTGTGGAACGATGTATAGAGGACTTGCCCCCAAATGTTATTGAAGCACACGTTCGTTACTGCGGTCACCTCAGCCGTCTCTCGCGTTTGCTTGGTCAAATCAGCAGCTCTTCATTTTTGAGTGCACGATTTATCACGCCTTTACGGTAATCGCTGAGAAGCGGCTCTGACGCTAGTACAAGAGTAAAATAATGCATGTTTTTTCTGCTTTCTTTTTCAGAGCCATCCATCCATCTTCTCCCGCTTATCCGTGGTCGGGTCGCGGGGGTAGCAGTTCCAGCAGAGAGCCCCAAACTTTCTTTTCCCTGGCGACATCAACCAGCTCTGACTGGGGGATCCCAAGGCGCTCCCAGGCCAGCGAAGAGATATAATCCCTCCACCTGGTCCTAGGTCTACCCCTTGGTCTCTTCCCAGCTGGACGTGCGGTAAAGCGACTGCAGTACCGCTCCCGCTGCTCCGATTCTCCGGCCCATCTCACGCTCCATTGTTCCCTCACTCGAGAACAAGACCCCGAGATACTTGAACTCCTTCACTTGGGGGTAAGGACTCATTCCCTACCTGGAGTGGACAGTCCATCGGTTTCCTGCTGAGAACCATGGCCTCAGATTTGGAGGGTGCTGATCCTCATCCCAGCCGCTTCACACTCGGTTGCGAACCGATCCAGTGAGTGCTGAAGGTCGCAGACCGATGAAGCCATTAGAACCACATCATCTGCAAAAAGCAGTGGTGCAATCCTTAGTCCCACCGAACTGCAGACCCCCTCCCCCATGACTACGCCTCGAAATCCGATCCATGTATATTACAAACAGGATTGGTGACAAAGCGCAGCCCTGGCGGAGGCCAACCCTCACCGGAAATGGGTCCGACTTACTGCCGAGGACCCGGACACAGCTCTCGCTTTGGGAGTACAGAGATTGGATGGCCCTGAGTAGAGACCCCCTCACCCCATACTCCCGCAGCACCTCCCACAGTAACTCCCTGGGAACTCGGTCATACGCCTTCCCCAAGTCTACAAACACATGTAGACCGGATAAGCGTACTCCCAGGCCCCCTCCAGGATCCTTGCGAGAGTAAAAAGCTGATCCGTCATTCCACGACCAGGACGGAATC